AAAAAAAAAAAAAACAAGAAGCACTTTCTTCTCCCCACCTCTGCAGCCTCCCAGCTCCACCCTCCAACTAGCTTCTTTTTTGTCGTATACTCTCTGCCCAAACCTACCAACACACCTTCTTGTTTTGCCTCAGCACCCAATCTTCTTACACACTCCTCTTTCCAACCTCCATCCACTCAGCATTCAGATGCCATCCCAAGTACCTCTCCCTCCTTATCACTGCTGAACATGAAGCAAAAGGAACAGAGAAAAACAAAATGAGATACCGAAGAAGGATAACTGAAGAGAAAATAGATTGAATGTCTGGACAGGAAACCAAGAAGGATAGAGTGAAAGGGTAAAATTGCAAAGAAGAGAAAAAAACCCAAGGATTATAAAACTTTGTTGCTCAAAGAAGTTGGTTTATATTACAGGAAAAGAAGCAATCATAGTGATGGTGGGAATGCTATTATACACCAGATAAGATGCTGTTTTGAGGCTATTATGCACCAGATGTGATGCCGTTCTGATGGAAACCTTTTAGAAGGAAGGGGTTAGTTGCTATTTAAGGCAGAAGGGTTAGAGCAGAGCAGAAACGTTTGGGGGTCAATTACCATATTCCAAAGAAACAATAATTAGAAGGGCTCTAGAGCACCTTATTATAAACTATCTCTGGATCCATCTGCTTTCGCTTTTTGTTGTTATCTCCTCTTCCCTGTTTCTTCTCTAAATATCCCATCCCGGTCCCGGTCCCTCTCCCTGTTTCTCTACACCATGCGATTTTCAAGCTTTGATTTTTCTCCAAAAAGAGGAAAATCTTTCTTGACTGCTATCGGTCCTTTCACTAATCACTTCATCCAGATTGGGAAATATCAAACTGTATGGCGTGGGGTAGGTCGATTTAATTTGGACTCCTTCACCTCTCCACATGGAAGTGAAGAATTGGAAAGTTATTCTTAATTTATGTCACAGGTCATTTGATTGAATGCTTAAATGGTCACTCTTCCCACCACTTTCCTTTCTCTCCTAAAAAACTCGACCAATCACATGTGTTAGTAATTGCAGTGTTCGTAGCAGCTAGCGCAAGCCTGCTCTCTTCGTCATTTTCCCCTTATCCTTTGTTCATCTCTTCATTATTATTAACTTCATCTCTGTTCATTTATCTTCATTATAACCGTCTCTTCATTATTATCTTTCAACATCTATCAAAGTCAAGCTGAAGTTAGAGCCAAAAGAAAGAACCCAGAGAAGAAGAGTGGAAATGTGGGACCGTGAGAGCAGGAACAGATGCACCTTGAATGAAGCGGTGTCGCATGTGCCTCCGGAAAATTTCAAATAATGTATATGTGAGAAAGCACAGGAGAAAATATTATTGATATTATTCTCATATGTTAAACATGATACAATGAGCCCTATATATACATAACATGTCTTACTCCTAATACATATGGGATTAGGGTTATTTATTACTATTTACATAACTATTCTAACACTCCCCCTCAAGCTAGTGCATATATATCATATGTACCGAGTTTGTTACATATGTAGTTAATACGAGGACTAGTGAGAGACTTGGTGAAAATATCTGCAAGCTGATCATTCGACTTCACAAACTTTGTAGCAATATCTCCCGAGAGTATCTTTTCTCTGACAAAGTGACAGTCAATCTCAATGTGTTTAGTTCTCTCATGGAACACTGGATTTGACGCAATATGAACAGCAGCTTGATTATCACACACAAGTCTCATCTGACTAATCTCACCAAATTTTAACTCCTTGAGCAACTGTTTGATCCAAATTAGCTCACATGTCGCCATAGCCATTGCTCGATATTCTGCTTCTGCACTAGACCGAGCAACCACATTCTGTTTCTTGCTTTTCCAAGATACCAAATTTCCTCCTACTACGACACAATATCCAGAAGTAGAACGTCTATCAGAAGGTGATCCTGCCCAATCAGCATCTGAGTATCCAACAATCTGCTCATGGCCTCGATCCTCAAACAATAAACCTTTGCCTGGAGCTGATTTTATATACCGAAGAATGCGAACAACTGCATCCCAATGACTATCACACGGAGAATCCATAAACTGACTCACAACACTCACAGGACAGGAAATGTCAGGTCTTGTCACTGTAAGGTAATTTAATTTAACAACCAACTGTCTATATCTTGCAGGATCGCTAAGAGGCTCCCCCTGTCCTGGCAAAAGTTTAGAACTCGGATCCATCGGAGTGTCAACAGGTCTACAACCTGTCATTCCTGTCTCCTCAAGAATATCTAAGGCATTCTTCCGTTGTGAGATCACAATACCTGAGCTAGACTAAGCGACCTCAATACCCAGAAAATACTTTAGTTTGCCCAGATCCTTAGTCTGAAAGTGTTGAAAGAGATGTTGCTTCAATTTAGTAATACCATCCTGGTCATTGCCGATAATAACAATGTCGTCAACATAGACCTCCAGATAAATACAGAAACTCGAAGCAGAATGTCGATAGAATACAAAGTGGTCAGCTTCACTCCGAGTTATGCCAAATTCCTGGATAACTATGATGAACTTACCAAACCAGGCTCGAGGAGACTGCTTTAAACCATAAAGTACCGGCGCAAGCGACATACAAGGCCACGAGACTCCCCCTGAGCAACAAACCCAGGTGGTTGCTCCATATAAACTTCATCCTCAAGGTCACCGTGTAAAAAAGCATTCTTAATGTCCAGCTGATAGAGGGCCCAATGGCGAACAACAGCCATGGATAGAAAAAGGCGGACTGATGTTATCTTAGCCACGGGAGAGAAGGTATCACTGTAATCGAGCCCAAATATCTGAGTATATCCCTT